CCCCTCTCCTCTCCTCTTCTCTTTCCTCCCTTCTCTCACTGTCTTTTTTAATGACTGGTTGAGAAATTAGTAATGGTGACATGATTTTTGGAAGCACTGGTTAGATGTGGACAACTGTCACAGTCATTTAGTGAGGTTAGGTGCTATTGGTCATGTCTGTTACTTTCTCTGCTGACAGCACAGTGCTTTGAATGTAGCGTGAAACATTGCTTTTTTAAAGTGGAGTTGAGACAGTAATAAGTACTGAGTATAGATCATGTGTAATCATGTATATGCCCTTCATGTGCCTATAGTTAGGCTGCAGTACAACTCATTGTATTTGTAAAGTTTGTATCAAGTTGGAAAAGACTAGGGAGTCATACTACCGAGTAAGAAGAAAAAGTAGTTCAACAATATTTACAGAAAAGGAAGTAAATATTTATTGAGTCACAGTTGGAGCTGATAATGATTTTGTAGATAGGGTTGGATGAGTTTATTGAGGGTGAGGTCCAGGGTGAAGAAATAGGATATTTTGGACTGTTTCTGGTCTTAAGATTGTTATCATTTTTCAATTTCTTTAATGGAAGACAAAAACAAGTTGCCTCATTTCAACATATAGTAACAATATGTCTTATGTTTGAGAGCATTAAAAGTTTAATCCAGGCAGAACAATTGGTGTTTCTATTGTTATTAGAATTATGTCTATTTGATTTTGTTTGTGTTAGCCAAAGCTCTTCTGGAACTAGAGATCCTCCTGTCTCAGCTACCTGAGTGCTGGCATGTGCCACCATGTCCATCTTAATAGTAAGGTTTTGATTTTTTATTTCTTGTAGGTTAACTGTTAGGTTATGAGCACTTACTACCTGTGTGCCCCTCCCCCCAATTTTTTATTTTATGTGTGTCAGTATGCAGTTATGTGTTTACATATTTGTGTATGCGTGAGAATATGTGTGTGTGTGTATACATGTACCACATGTGCTTGTGTGTACTTGTACTACATGCATATTTGTTCTTATGTAAGGCAGAAGAGGGCATTGAATCTCCTAGAACTGCAGTTACAGACAGTTGTGAACTGCCATTTTACTGCCTAGAACTGAAGTTCTCTCTACAAGAGTTGGCAAGTGCTTTTAACTACTGACCCATCTTCCCAGCTCTGGGACCTGATTTTTTGCAACATTGAATATTAGTACTTAGAACAATTGAATCTTGTATTTTTCTTCTGCTTCTCTGTCATGTACAAAGTCATGATATATGGTACTTGTCCATTTTAATATTAAGATTCTGATTTGTTATTTCTTGTAGATAAACTTTCAGGTTATGAGCACTTACTAGCTGTGTGCACCTCCCCAGTGGGTTAAGTATTTACTCTGGCAGCATGAGATACAGAGTTCAAATCCCTAGAATTTGAAGTAAAGCAGGATGCGATCATATGCATCTGCAGTTCCAGTTCACCTTTGGCAAGGTGGAAGGAAGTGAGGAATCCCCAGAAGTTCTCAGGCCAGGTAGCCTTATGTACCCAGCAATGGACATCTAGAGACCCTTAACTCAAGCAAGGTGGAAGGTTATTTCCTGACATTCACCCAGGTGTCACGAGACCCAGACACACACACACACACACACACACACACACACACACACACACACACACGAGAAAGGAGACAGGTGAAATCACTTAGTAGGTGAAGACACTTGCCTTGCAGACCTGGTTCTCTGAGTTTGATCCTGGCACTCATGTAAAGGTGGGTGAAGAGAGCGGCACAAAATTGTCCTTCTACCTCTATATATGCACACCAAAAAGCAGAACAAGAGCTTGATGGGTTAGCATTGTTTATTGTAGCACCATGTATCGTTTCTAAATACACAGTTCCCTGTTTTAAAAATGGAAGCTGCAAAATCATTAATATAATGCTGCTAAAAATACCATTTGTAAAATAAGGTCCTTGGAAGTTGGTCTTAGTGCTACAATTCTGGTGGTGATAAATGGTACAAAGATGGATTGTGGAAAGACACTTTGTAGTTAGTCATAGAGGCAAGGTCTTGAAATGAACAAACAACTCAGGAGCAAACTCGAGTACTCCCCCCTCCCCCCACGTGCTTGTAGTTTCTACTAAAGTAAAACATTGCCAGTGATCAGCTTTCTAAATAGTCCAGTCAGAAAGCAATTTGAGGGGAGAAAGGAGCTTATTTCAGCTTATACTTTCATGTTCTAGTCTTAGCATTGTGGAGGAAGTTAAGCCAGGAAGTTCTGACAGCTTGTCAGAGGAGAGAGAAATGAATGCATGCTTGCTGTTTGTGTTTAGCTTGGCTTCTCCAACTCATACACAGTTCAGGACACTGTGTCTAAGGAGTGGTGGTATGCAGAGTGAACTGTATGTTTCCCACATCACTTAAGACAATTCCACAGCCAGGCCCGCAGGACAACCAATATAGGCAATCCGTTGTTGAGACTCTCTTCCCAGGTGATTGTAGTTTATATCCTGGAGGTTATCACAAACACATTCTCAGGTACTTGCTAATGGACTTGATATGTTAGCCCTTATATATTTTTATTCTTTTGCATATACATGTGTATTCTTGAACTACCTGATTAATATTTGTGATAATTACAATTTTTACCCCTTATATACCAAATACCTAGAGTATAAGTTTGTTTTTCCATGTCCGCTTTGTCTTGTCAAGTGGACTTTGCCATGAATTCCCCCCATTTTTCTGTCCTTAAGTTTATAGCAATTTCTTTGCTAATTTCCCTTTCTTCCTTATCTACAGAAATTTCCATGCAGTATCGACATGATGGAGCTTGTCCAACAACTAGTAAGTTGTCCAACTGGGTTAGTAACCTGGGCTTTTTGGCTCTTAGTTTAGTATCTTTTCTGATGCATTAACTTAAGACCTTTGAAGGTCTAAGTTTTGTTTCCCAAAATGCATTAGATTTTTATCATGTAGATTTTTTTCTCTTACAAAGATGCTTTTATATGCTGCATTTTTTTTGTGTGTGTGTGTGCTTAGGATCTACATTATAGTCAAATATTGCAAATTTTAACTATTGTTGGTTCTTTACTATGGTACTTATGTTTTAGAATTGTGACCTCTGTCCTTGGTGACATGCTGTTTTCAGTATTTTGGTGCCATTTATTTAGCCTTAATGTAAATACAAATTTTCAGTATTTCTATATTAATTAGCTTTATGTTTGGACTTCTGTATGTGTTGAAACTTATATTGGAAGTTTAGAAGATGAAAATAAAAGTTTGATAGGGTTAGTAGGCATAATGAGATTTTTTTTTATAACTTTCGATTGTGCTTTAAGGTTGATTATTACATCCTGTGGAGATGATAAAAGAGATACTATGTTGATACCATTATTTAAAGCAATTTTCAAAAATATATTAAACTAAAGAAAGTGTCACCATTGTGACAGTGCACCTAACATGTTATCTTAGTTACTAGGCTGTGTGTTAATAAATGAGATATATACTATTTAAGGAGTTATATTATGGGGTAATGAAAAAAGCTTTTAGTTTTAATAATTTCAAGCAATAGATCTGGTAGACATACTAAGATTTTGTTAAGCTGATTCAGTCTGTGCCTTTGTTTTTCTTTTGTGTGTTTGAGAATGATCTTAACCTGACATCCTTTTTTCCTTACTTAAAAGCCTTCTCAGAGTTGCTGAATGCAATACACAATGGTAAGTTTTATTAGATCTTCTATGGTGGTTCACTTATCGAAACTGTTGCCTTTTATCAGAAAGATCAAGTGAAAGTTAGCATGGTGCAGTCATTAGATGAGACGTAGTGCTTCAGTGAGCTGATTAATTGTTCTGCACAAGCTTGTCGGTAGAAACTCTGTAGCCAGCCTACAGAGGTGTGACCAGTCAGTGGGGTTCATTAGGTTGGTGTTTGTCTCTACACTTCTCAAAGTTCTGTGTTCCCAAATAGTCTACTTCTTGGAGATCTTTCTTGCTAATGTATTAGTAATTACAGGAATTTCAGGAAAAACAACAGGAACTTGCTTTTAACCACAGTATAGAATGTGAATTTTGTTTTTTCAGAAAGTTTTATTTGAATACTTTATTTTACTCCTGTATCTCATGTGAATAAGTATTTGAAGCTGTATCTATTTGGGGACCAGTTTTCACAGTGTAGGCCTGTCTTCTCCTTTGGAGTAGCTAAGTCAGTATATAAGGCAAATTCTGTCACTTTTCATTTTAACAGTGTAATTATAATGATGTTCATTACTGTAGAGCGTGTGAAGGTTTCTTTAGTGTCCCCAACTTTTTGTAATCCTTTTGCATTAAATTTTTAAAAAAATTGTTTTATTTGTAAGCATGCATGTGTATATATTTTGAAGAGTGCATACTCTCTCCCACAAGTTCTCTGGATTAAATGAGTTGTCCAGTTTGGTGGTGAGTGTTTTACCTGGTGAGCCATCTTGCTGAATTTGAAAGTATTTCTTCCCAGTATTAATACTGTTAATGTGGTTTTTAGCAGGTGAGGTTAAGAATTCTTAGTTGTGTTTCCTTATCCTTATTATAGAGAAAAGATTGTAAATGACCTTTTTTAGCTATAAATGCAAATGAAAGATGGATTTCCAGTAAATGATTTTTATTCTATGACTTTTCCTTTTTTTCTAAATGTAGATTTTTTTCCCATTCTGTTAAAAAATGTATTTCTAGCCCTACAGATAAAAAAATACGCCTATCAATGGAGTAACTTGAAGTTTTGGTTGTTGTGTGTTAGTCAGGTTAACCATACTGTCATAGACATTTACCATTTTGTTTCCTTTTTTTACTTAAAAAAAGTGTGTGTATGTGTGTGCACACATGTGCATACACATATGTGCATGCCTGTGCATACATCCGAGTGCACGTTATGGGGAGGGCACTATATGTGGAGATGAGAGGACATTGTAGGTTGTAGCAGTTAGCAAGTCTGTGCTTCAAGTGCTCTCATCCACTTTGTCATTTTGCTGTTTCCTGAGAGAGAGAGAGAGAGAGAGAGAGAGAGAGAGAGAGAGAGAGAGATTGAGAGATTGTGTGTGTCAATGTGTGCACACATGTACTGCAGGTGTGTGTATTTGTTTTTGATGGAACGTTTCAGACTCCTTTTTTCACAGGCTTCTGATAAGTATGTACTAGTTCTGTTGCACATTATCATGTCAGGAAGACATTTTTTTCTGTTCACTTGCACTCTAGTCTTTAAGGTGAGCAGTAGTGTTTTTTTTCTCACTGCTATATAGCCAGTTCCTAGAATCTTTTCTCTTTGGCACTGGAATACTGTAGCTTTTAAGCAATGCCATGTCTCTTCTTTCCAGCTCTGCAAGATAGAATTGGGAAGCACACACATGCTCCTTTCTCATATTGCTTGATTTACTGAGAGGTTTCTAGTTGTCCACCATTATATTGTTAGCTGTTTTCTATAGATTGCACCATATGGCAGGTTGAGGAAATTTGGTTACTGACTTTATCTCCTTGTTTTAGGTAACTCAGAATTCCTTTTTTGTGTTAGTTTTGTTCATTGTATATTTAGTGACAGTTTTATTTCAGCCACATTAAGTATTTGGCCTATAACTATGGAAACGTATGTATGTATGTATGTATGTATGTATGTATGTATGTATGTATGTAAAATAGTATTTCTTTCTAAACGTACCATGACTCTTATTTCCATACAACCCTTTTTGGATTTTTCCCTCCTCTTCCTCATCCTCTTCCTCTTCTTCTTCCTCCTCCTCTTCTCCTTATCTTCCTCCTCTTCTTCCTCCTCTTCCTCCTCTTCCTCCTCATTGTGACAGGAGGAGTCAACAACGTCTCACGTAGTCTGTGTAGTTAAGGATGACCTTGATGTCATCCATAGTTATTAGGCCTGCATCACTCTCCAAATGCTGGAGTTATAGTTGGCGCTATATGTCTGGCTGTGCTTTCATTGTCTGCTTCCTTCTGTATGATGCCTTCTGCAGATGTGTTGTGGGAAGGAAGGATCAGATGTTATAAGGTATAGAATACCTTTCCTTAAATCACTAATTCTTAACTTACATTCTTCTAGATTGTTAGAGAGTAAAAATAAGTGATTTAGAGAGTGGCATCAGTACCTACAATTTTTAGTTTTCACACAGACAACACTTACCATCAGTATAAGAATCTGTAAAATACAGAGCCTTCTTCCTCAACTCTCCTCCAGTCGGTAAATAATATGTTGTTCTTCCCACATGGGATAATATTATTACTTTTTTTGGGGAAAATGCACAGTATAAATGTATCCTGCTTTGGTGGAATAAGATCTAAACATGAGACAAATATGTTTATTAATAGCATCTTAAAGATTTTATGATCTGTAATAGGAAAAAGTTCAGAGTAAAGAAAAATTGCCTTTGATGGATTAAACTGTGCTGAGAACATAGCATTTGACATAGTATTTGGTTATAAACTATTTGGTACAGATAATCAGTCTGTCAGTTCCAGTCTTAAGCACAAGCAGTCAGTCCCACTCACATGCAGCTATGCAGGCTGTGTTAGTTACTTCTTGCTGCTTTGATAAAACACCATAGCAAAAAGCAGCTTTGGGAGGAAATGGTGTAAGTCAGCTTATAACTCTGAGATGCCAAGTTATCATCCAGGAAAATCAGGGCAGGCATTCAAGACACAAGCATGGAAGTACAGCCTAATGCAGAAACCACGTCAGAGTCCTTCTTAGTGGCTTGCTCCTCCTGCTTTTCTCAGCCTGTTTTTTTGTTTTTGTTTTTTTTTTAATAGCACCTAAGAGCACTAACCCAGGGGTCCTACCAACTCCTGTAAGCTGATCCTTCCCACATTAGTCATCAATTAAGAAAATACTCCATAGGCTTGCCCAAAGTCCATTGTGGTGGGAGCATTTTCTCAATTGAAGTTATTTTTTTCTTCCCAGATGACTCTATCTTTAGTCAAGCTGACATAAAACTAGCCAGGAGTCTGACTATGCAAGGTGCTAGTGATAACTGATATTTGATTCAGAACATAAAAAGAACAGCAGCATTAGCTTTTAAATCAATAAATCCAAAGAAGTTGATTTTTTGAGTTGGGAAAAACATAGTGCACTAGTTATATAAGAAGGTTCTTTTGATCACTGCACATAAGAATTGAACAAACTTAATGCCAAGACAGAAACCAAATAGAATTTTGTTAATAATATAGCCAAATATTATGGAAACCCAAAGAGGAATGTGAAAGTCAGCCAACCTCCTACCTGCCTCCTACAAAACCAAAACCCAAAAGCAAACAAACTTATAGTTGTCAGTGAATTGAGTAGCAGTTTCGTGGGGGGGTTGGGGTGGGGGTGGGAGGAAGACATCCACTAGTATTTAGCACATATAAAAATTGCACTTGTGCAGAAAAAGAGAATTGTAGCTAGTTCATGTAGAGGTGATAATAGAGAAACACTTGTTCATAATTGAAAAGTTCTGGTAGAGAGGACAAAGACATCGGATTAATTTTTATTTTACTTGCTTTGGACATTATTTAAAGATAGGAATTAACTTTGTTTCTTGGGTTTCTAGACTCTAGTTATCTTTCTGTGTTAGCCTCTCAAGTGGTGGGACTACAGAATTTTGCACCACCATGCTCTGTGTTACCAAGTTTATCTTAAAATAGTGAAGTCTTCCTGCTGAGAGGGAAACTTGTAGAGAAAGGGTCTAAGGTTGAAGAGAAGGCTCTTGGATGGAGCAAGCCTATGGGGCGGATGGGAAGAGTGGCACGTGGGAATGCTGCAGCCTGAAACATACAATAGCTGTGAGAACATCCCGTGTAATGTGGCATTTTAGCTTTCTAAATAACCCCTTTAGGGCTGGAGAGATGGCTCAGTGGTTAAGAGCACTGACTACTCTTCCAGAGGTTCTGAGTTCAATTCCCAGCAACCACATGGTGGCTCACAACCATCTGTAATGGGATCTGATGCTCTTTTCTGGTGTGTCTGAAGAAAGCGACAGTGTACTCATATGCATAAAATAAATAAATAAATCTTTAAATACCCTCCTTAGGTTTTTTGAAATTATTCTTTAATGAATTTTATTGTACAATTTTCATGCATCCTGTGTTCTTGCTGATCCTGCCGAGTTCTCCTGCCCTGTCCATCGCTGTCTGGTTCCCTTCCCTCCCCGGTATCCTCTTCTGCTCTTATGCCACGTGTAATTTATAACCCTCACCTGTCCCCTGCTCCCTAGTTTTATTATTTTCACATTTATGTATCTGTGCCTGTTGTGTATGTGCCCACGTCAGGAGGTTAGATGACAACTTGTAGTGGACCTGAATCTCTGCTACTCCATAGGTTCTAAAGATTGAAGTTAGGTTTTCAGGATCGGAAGCAAGTACCTTTATCTGATGAGCCGTTCTTTTAGTTACTCTTCTATTACTGTGAGGAGACACCATGACCAGGGAAACTTATAAAAGAAAGCATTTAATTGAGGGCCTGCTTTCCAGGGGGTGGTTCCATGACCCTCGTGGCAGGAGGAGACATTAGTCACTTTGGTTTAGTTAATTCCAGATGTACTCAAAGTCACAACCCAGAATAGCCACCACAATGGGCTCCTTATTTAGTGCTTCCCCTGCACACACACACATACACACACGCACACACACACCCATCCATCCCATTGTTAAGGTCAGGTTGTTTTCTTTTTGAGGAGAAATATAATAGACATATTTTTTTCGTTGCATAG